AGGTAAGTGAGAAAAACCTGTCGAGAACTATCCAGAAGTAAATAAGAAAACTTTAAAAATAAGATACTTGGTTCAAAAGTACTTCATCTGAGTCAGACGAATTCCCTTCAGAGACTCCTGCTGTTTGTAAAACTTCTTTCTCATCAATTACAGAAACGTCCATATCTGTCGTTTCCGATTCCTCTGCTTCCTCACTCACTACTCTCTCTTCAAAATTAGAACCGGTGTCCGCTAAAGAAATAACCGAATGCATTGCCTCACTTGTTGTCCCTAAAAGAAACCGGTCAAAAGAAAGGAAATATGTAAATGAATAAATTAAAAAATTCGCAGCAGCAATTACCCTATCTGAACAATCCCAAAATATTTTTGACATCTTAACCCACTCAATATTTCAAACACCACCTCTTTCTGCAGTAAGATTCTTCATCTGAAAAATATCCTCTTCGGTCAAATAGGAATCCTCAGTTCTTTGATCACCACTTCCAGTTTCTGTTGAGAGAACTATTTGTTTTTTAGCTTCAGCTTCAGCAGCTTCTTCTTCATGTTTCACTTCATTGTCTTCGATTTTCAATGCACCATCACCCGCCGCTTCATCACTGACACCTTGAACCGCTCTTTCGCCAAGATCGGAGTTTTCTTTGGAGTCCATTGATCGCTAAACTCCAGTTTTTGTAAAAAATAGTACGTACAACCTAGAAGATACCATGACCAACGACGAAAAAAATGTGTTTTCCTTCCTTCCTTTTAAAACAACGCTTATAAAATGCAACCCGTACCGTTGAACCTCCTAAAAGCAACCAAAATCTCAGCACTACAAAAACTATGTTGGTAGAACACTAGTCCGTGAAGAATCTCAACTCAAGCTGGTTCCCAAGGGCAGTTACAACAATAAAAATAAACAAGTTGACATTCTCCACAGTCAAAAAAGCAAGTCCCACTAGATTTCAGAATACGCGTATTTAAATAGCCTAACAACGCTCCTCCTAAGATCCATTCCAAAAACAATGCCACTAAGGTGGAAAAGAATGCCAAAACACCCATACAAAAAGCTACCAAAGCCCAAAATCATCTTGCAAACTCCAGCAAAAAAACGCCTGTCACATTACTTTCATAAGCAGACGCCTTTTGACGTCCGGCACCAAAAGAACTTCACTGCATAATTACTCGCCTCTTCCTTACCATAATAAAAACCCAACTCATCCGCGCAAATTCTCCCTCACAACCGACTAACCGTCCAGCCCTATGATCAAGACATGATCCGCCCACCCGGATCACCACGATCTTCCAAATCCAAATACGTTAGAAGCCTGCCCAGCAAAATAAGCAAGTCTTCCCTTTGGATTGAGATACGCTAACTCAAGTAACTGAGCGATGAGACAGCTCCACGCGGACTGGAAGTATTGCAGTATAAATCGACATACATCTATTTATTTTACATTCCTCCTGAATTGTACAAACAAAAGAACGTTATCAGCGATCTAACAACAATTCCAGCAAACCTGTTCTACGAATCCTACTTGCAGTAATAATCATAACCTCTCTAACAACAAAGCACTCATCAAGGAAGATGCAAACTTCTCTATTCAAAACTATCAAACATGCACGCCTCTACCGATGATAGAGTGAAAACCTAAAGATGAGAATTATATTCGCAAATCAGAATTGGAACTTGGAACCTCCTCTTCAAGTAACAAGAACATGAACGTTCAAGACGCAGGAACAAAATACACCTTTCACAAATACCGCCAAATCTAATACTAGAGAAACTAATCGCTTAACAAGTGGAAAGTTTATTCAAAGGGCAAAGACGAGCCATCAACTTAAACATCACTACTAAAAACATAAAAATAACACAGACTAAACAGAAACTGAAAATTCTCAGAATATAACAACGCTCATAGAACGGAAGACAAATCCGTCATGATGCCGTTAAAAAGTAAAACAAACAATATAACGACATGGAAAAATTAACAAAATTGTTGCACTTACTAATGAAGATAAATGAAAAAGTGGGTAAAAAATTACCACAGGTATCAAGATATAGAATAGTGAGATAAAAGGAAGCACTAGAAGTTAGTTAGGGATAAGCCTTTAAAAATGCAGTACATAAACAACTCCAACGAAACTAAACGAGAAAGCCCTTCATTAGCGAGGTATAAGAGATATGAACGAAGCACAAAAAGATATAGTGAAAAGTGACTAAGCCGACTTCTCATCGAGAGATAAAATATATTTGAAAAATTCATATACTGACCAACTTAGGGCTGTAGAAGGCACTTGAAACAAAACACGTGCTTGAATACCTCTTAAAAAACCGGAAAGACCTCTAAACAAATATATTGTCCTAATCCCATCTGCGATGCCCCTAAAAAAATAACACCTTCGCAACGGTTTCTTTAAACAATGGAGCTCAATTAAGTCATAAAAAACAACAGCGGTCACTCATTTCCCGTTTAAAAGCAACACCAGTAATTTCCAAAAAATGTCAACTTATTATGCACTCTTTTGCAGCAACAGGTATCTCACAAAAGTACCTAGTTTAAACATGGATACATTAAAAGGTAACTAAAACAACTCAACTAAAATAAGAAAACCTTACTTGTAAGATATGACAGGAGGAGACTTCAGTAACATACGACAACCTTCGGTGACTTCAGGCGTTTGTTGAGTGTTGAGAACTGTTTTGATACAGTCCAACGGAGTTGTAACAGCAGCAGCAAAGCCTCCAGCAACACCTTACACAAGCATTAAACTTTTGAAAAAACTTTGAAACTTTACAGACTTTGTACTTTAGGCTTCAAAAATGTTCACGAAAAAATTTTTATCTGGAAATCTTACCAAAATTTGGAGTGGTCAACTCTTTAAAATACGTGCTTTAGAAGAAAAAAAAGTGGAAGACGCTAACCTCCAGCAATAAGATGTGAAAGAGGATAGTACTTATGCTCAGGATTTAAAATGTTTTGCACAGCCTCATATGTCATAAAATGAACGCTCTGATATGGTATGTTCATTATCAGCTGAGTAGCATAAGATCGATAAAAAGCATTGACACCCTCAAGGCGATATACACAACGAGCACATTCCACGCAACTCCCATACGGACTGAAGAACATTTGCATTCGCTGCTTAACCACCTGTAAGTCTCAGCTGAAGAAAAACAGTGACAATTCATCCCCTGCTGATGAATGTATAATTTAAAAACAACATCACTGTATATGCTCAATGCAGAGTACAATATAGAACATTAATCAATAAACAAGAATGCTTAAACGAGATTTAGGATGCAAATTGATACATAGAACTGATTAGCAGTGTGAATTCATCATTAACTAAAGTAAACCACATTGTTTAAGGCAGCGAAACTGCATAAGTTAAAATAAATAAATAACCTCCGCTGGATTCATAATGAAATCATGAACTATAGTCGCTAAAACTCCAGAAAATCCATACCCCAACATGTCTTTCGCATTAGCAGTATGCCCTGTTAACAAATGTTTAGACCTGAAATGAATACCACGACTGTTTAGTTCCATAGTACTTCCACATAGTAGATTTCTTTTGGTCATAACGATACAGTAATACACCATTAGCAAAAAATAAAAAGGAAACAAATGTTTGAGAAAAATAAAAAAAAAAATCTCCAGGCCTTTTCGAAACTTATCAACTAACTTTTCATATACCGTAAAGTAGCAGGCATGTGCTGGGACAGCACCCGCAACCATTGCCTTTACTCCTCTGTACGACCCCAGCCAACCTTCTCTCCTTGCCATGGACATGACACAGTGCATAGCAGTCGGACAGTTTGTTTCCGGACAAGGACGTAAGCTTTGCAGTCTAGTTTTCACAACATCAAAGGGGAACATAACACAATGTTCAGCAAGGCCAGCAACTGAACCTGCTGCGAGGTGTACCCATGTCTTCTGCGTAGGCAAGGTTTCATACTCTCCGCCCATGATAACATCAACTAACCATCTGAAATTTCATTTCTTCAAAGGTTCTTGAACTACTGATAGACACTTCACGAACTAGGGAACTATTACCCAATACTTTTTAACAGGTCAAATTGAGATAAAATAAAAACCGAGGCGCTTCTTCGCAACAATTCAGTCATAAACGTGACAAACTTTAAACCAAGATTTTCTTTATTGGCTGAGGAAGCTGCTTAAAATTAATGCAGAGTGAAAGTTAACAAATGGATGACGAGAATGGAAAATACTAAAAAGAATTCCCGCTTACTGTTTCACAAATCTGAAGCGGAACCTACAAGATCCAGCCCAGACCAACAACTGGAACAATCACTGGTAAAGATCACTGTTAGCGAACAGTGGGTAATAAGCATAAAAAACCTTCCTGATGTTTATCAGAAAATATCATTGGATTTCCGGGACCGATTCTATAAAAAAAAAAACGCAGATCATCCTATTTACTTATTAATAAAGAATTTAATAATTCATGCAATGTTCATCTAATGGTCTTCAAAATTTCAATAACGAAAAACCACACCATTTACTACATTCATGCAATGTTACAACAGCATTTTCTGAATAATTTGCCAAGAAAACGACCTTGACAAGATTCCAACATTTGTTTTTCACCATTACAAAACTTCGGCACTCTTTCCTACAAAACTGGAAAAAATAGTGAATAGGGCTTCGTAGCCGGGCGTGGCTTGTACTTCAACAATCTCTGTTCCGGTACGCTGTTCTGAAAATGCATCCATTTCAGTGAAATAATCCCTGCCCTCCCTCCTCTTCCCCCCCCCCCTCCTCCCCCAGTCCCACTCCTTTCCAACAAAGGTAGCTGAATAAATATAAAATTGCAGACGAACAAATCATGTCCACTGTCGAGTATTTTTAACAGTATTTTCCCAAATAATCAAAGGAATTCTTGTCGTCAGTTCCATCCGTCAAGAACAAATGTTTCATCCAGCAACGCAAACACGTGCTCTGAACACGCCTGTTTAAACAACAAGCATAATTAGTACATCATTCTTGCTCCAGAACAGTAAAGTAAGTCATTATTCAGAGTCCTTAATTCTGAGGGAACCATCCATCATCAACACCTTTCTATAAGTATAATATTTTCTAATCCCCAAAATGTTACACATTTAAAGTTCTAAAAAAGCAAGGCCTGAATCTTAGAATTTTGATAGTATCATAGCTATACTGGTCTAGTATCAATCCGTTAATAAGATTCTGCCAGGTCCAGTTCAACAACTGTACTCCTTCAAAATTCCGAAGGAAAAAAGCAAGAAAAATAAATACTCTAAAATCTCGACCGTCACGTTGCGAAGGTTTTTGCTGGAATGAACAAATAAGCCATGCAAGACGAACAACGCGTTATTGCAGTAACAATATCCAACTGTAACAGCTCAGTATCTTTCTCAATGCTGCCACGGTAGCATTCTTCTTTTTTCTTTTTTTTAAATTTTTCTTTATATTTTTCTTGTCATTCGA